CCTATAGGTAATACTAAAGGATTGCATAGGATGCAACAGATCCTTCTGGAGAGTAGGATGGAGGGGTTTTTGTGTTTCTCCATCATATTGTTGTACAACTGATCCTGACCACAGCTCCCAGATGATGGAGACCCAAGGAATTCAGTGCAAATATGAATTACTGAACTGATTTACATGGTGCTAAGGATGAGAGCATGCAGAAGAGAGTAAGCAGCCACCTTGAGCCAGACTAGCTCCTCTCCAGCTTCCTGGGCTGCAGTATGGGAGGATATCCTCTACGAGGTGATGTGGGTGGCTCCTCCATGAGCCTACAGCAGGTTAAACATGGGAAAGGTTTCTTATTTCCATTGAGAAGCATCAAATAACTCTGAGATGTACCACTGGCAACAGGGCTAAAGCTAAGAACCTTGACACCTTCATATCCTACATGGGATGCATCCAGTCTATCCTACATCCTACTGTTATCTCCACCTCTATGCATAAAGGAGAGCAGCAAGTCACAGACCTGAAGCTTTCACTTTTAAAACTATAAAACACACGTTGTACCTCCAGAATTTTCATAGCTACCAGGCTTGGGACACCCAGAGCCCATGAAGCTGAGTACCCAAACCCAAAAGGACACATGCCAGTACCATACCACCATTCTCAGGGAAGAAATCCACCCCACAGGGAACTCAGCAGTGCCTAATCAAGCTACACAGTAAATCCCAATGATTATTTGCAGAAGATGAGGAAGAACAAATAAATCACAAAAAGGAAAAAAAACCCCAAGGAATTCTCTCTGCCTTTTATGGGGAGGGATGGATGCAAGTTAAGAAAACTCTGACCATGGCGACTGTCTGGGGAAAAGGCATTCCACTGAACTGGTTAGGCGAGGCGCTGTGGGAGGACGGTTCGCTCAGGGGCATGAAAAGAAGGTATGTACAGGGGGAGGGGGACGATCTGCTCCATCACTGGGGACAGCACTCTAGCTCCTGCCAGCAAGGTCCCCAGAGCCTTGGACACACTGCTGAGATGGTGGCAAAAGACTGACAGACCCTGCAAACCCCTCAAATAACACTCTATTAGGATGCTGCTCCCTGAAGTCCTTAGGCCAAAGCAGCTTTATTTGGGTCCAGACTAGCATCTCGCAGCATTGGTGAGCAGTTTACCAGATTTCTGAGGGATGGTGAAGGAAAGCAATTTTGCACCTGGTAGGGCAGGCTGACAGCACTAAGACAGCTCCAGGGCAATGCAGGAGCTATTGCACTGCCACACACTCTTAAGAGAGAGGTAAGCCCTCCTCCCTGTTGCTCCAGGGCATTTAGTCAGTCAGAAAAAAATATAAAATTGCTATAACATTACTTAATTCCTAGCACTGCAGGATATAGCCTTTGAGATCAGTGTTCCTCCTGAATGCAGGGAGCTAGACACCACCCCCACCACAGACCCCACAGTTTCTGGCTACATCCTTGATCAGAGCAGAAGCTGGAGAATCTTCTTCGCTCTGTTGCTCCAGGGCATTTAGTCAGTCAGAAAAAAATATAAAATTGCTATAACATTACTTAATTCCTAGCACTGCAGGATATAGCCTTTGAGATCAGTGTTCCTCCTGAATGCAGGGAGCTAGACACCACCCCCACCACAGACCCCACAGTTTCTGGCTACATCCTTGATCAGAGCAGAAGCTGGAGAATCTTCTTCGCTGGCCTAATGAACAGCAGGAGGCCCACAGGGACACACATTCAGCTTACCTTCCTGGCCATCCGTAGCTTCTTCCCACGCAAGGGCCATGGCAGAAACTAAATGTTCTCCACACCCACAGGGACCACCAGCCCTTCACTCTGGTTATGCAAAAAGGCAGATCTCTGCTGGGATTTCCCAGTCTGCCTGTGGTTCACACCAGGGGAAAGGAAAGAGCACAGCCAACAGCCTCACAGATGGGCCACTCAGGACATTGTGAAAGAGCCGGTCACAAGGCTGACAGCCAGGAAAGGCTGCTGACTGTCTAATGTTACACCAGACCCACAAACCCTCCTCCTGACTTCTCCAGCCCTTTTCATCCCAATGCAGTGCAGACCACCAGTTTCTCTTACCCCTTTCTTATATGAAACACAGGAAGAACATTTCTTCCTTAAAAACAAGTGCATGAGAACTGCAAGGTCTTGGCTCAGCAAGAGACCAGGCTGCCTCTTGTCAAAGGGTTTCTGTGCCACCCAGTCTTCTTCTCCACCTCTCTCCCCAGAC